CAGATACACAAGCACGCACAGACACATATACGCATACGCAAAAAACACATTTACATACGACAAGTCCTATTTTTCATACTATGTTGCATTACAACGGATCATTTCAAAAGGCGTGGAACAGTTTAATACTTGTCTCGCGTATGACGTATGAAACGAATAAAAAACAACAATTCAGAATTTCATCTTTAGAAATGCAACAAACCGTATTGGAACTCACATGCCGATAATATGTTCTATTAGAAGGCGTATGCCGTCTAATAATTAGGCCAACAGAGCGATAATGGAAAATGTGGGCATCTTGTTTTTGGATTAAATAACATGATTTAGGCTTATAGTTCGCAGAGAAATTGTCGTCTTGTTTAGGTATCAAAGAAGTAATTTCCAGTTGCATTGAGGCGCACTTTACTCAATTATAGTATCACAACGGAGATGTTTCTCCAAGAATAAGGTAAGAAAATAGAAAAAAAGAATAAAAATAGTGAGCAGGCCACATACCCCCCCCCCCGACCACACACACACACCGTTACCCAGCGGAATCCATCTAGAAAATTCAGCAGTTTGCATGTCAAACGAAAACCCACTATGAAAGCCGGAAGTATGGATGCACTTGCCTGTATGCTGTGTCCACGTTCCCGCTTGTTGTCCCACTAACTAACAAACCAAACAGTGAGTAAATACAGAAGGGCCACTATTTCCATTATTACGTTGAGTGGGGTACATTCTAGCGGAGAGGCGGATCTATTCAATACAATAACAATAATATTATCTTCCCCAACAGGAAATCTAAATCATGCCTTTTAAGTGCCAGGTGAAAAACCATCCCAGAGCTGCCAGTGCTTCAGCACTGCAGCCCCATTGCTGTAAACCCGTCATTTATTTTGATATATTACTTGCTTTGTAGCTGATTAATAATTCGTAAAAGAATCATATAAACAACAAACTGTTATTACATATTTTGCATGTACAAAACCCCGAACGTATTTGTACCGAGCAGTCCAGTAATAATACCACAGAAAAAAGAAATAATATGTCATAACGATTGGATAACAACGTTCACGTGCTGGGGTATGCGCATGCGCAAAGGAACCGGAACTGACGCACACATGGTAGCAATACAGTGGTTCCTTGGGACAGACATAACAAATGAATAGACTGCATCGCTAGACGCCCAAAACAAAAATAATGCAATGAATAAACACAAACACCCACCCCCCAACTTATGCGTAAAAATGACATTATGAGGAGTGTGGAAAACGTGGAGAAAAGAGTTGGGGTTAGTACGAGGAGAGATATTACGTGAACATGCATAGGGTTGGGCAGCAGCAGTTGTTTTAGATTGATGAGCTCAACAGTAAATTGGAAACTTAGGCCTGAGAGCTGAGAGCAGTTGCCAAAGTTGTCGTCACCCAATTCATCGGCCAGAAAACACATAGCGTAATAAAAGCTATAAACTACTTAGAAAAGTTCGGGAAAAAGCAAAAAGACTGATGATGATGATCATGCCATCATGAACATCCAGGAGTACGTAGCACTTCGGAAAAACATTATTCACGACTGTGTCTGCTGGCATGCTTCAGACGCAGGGCTACAACAAGCGTTAGAAACCCCCAACCTTTTTTAAAGAGTAGAATCCTTGCATCTGGGGTTATGGAACTAATATGAATGTATAAACCGTTCGTCGCAAATAATTTGTTTCCCCTTTTCTTTTTCCCTCTCTTTGTGTCCCATCTGTCTCGCGAGCGAGCTCTAGCACATTTATGTATATAGGCGCGCGCGCGCGTGTGTGTTTGTGTTATGTTTGTGTGTGTGCGTGTGTGTGTGTGTGTGTGTGTGTGTGTGTGTGCGCGTGTGCATGTGCTTGCGTGTCTGTAATTGTTCATGTTTCTCTGCGTTTATGTGTCTGTGAGCTAAAGAGAGAATGAATGAGTTCCAGTCATCATCATCATCATCATCATCATCATCATCATCATCATCATCATCATCCGGAGCCTTGCCGACTGGCGTGGGTGATCATGGACCTCCACTTCAGTTTAAAAGTAGAATTCGCATTTTGTCCTGTAGTGCACATATAAAAGAAGGTTCAAATCATGCACACGAGTAAACACGTTACGACCAGGACCATCAAACGAGCAGGGTAAACAATACAAATGGAATTCAGAGCTGCTGATTTTGACACTTGTAAGTGTAGTTGAATGGGGATTAAAGATCGCTTGCAAAAACCAAACTGAACGATGAGAAAGATAGGAATTTAGTAGCTAACACCTAAGCTAAAACTACACTTTTTAACCTAAACAATTCAGCGGATACAGAGATCAAAATGTCAACGAGCAAATACAGCGAACGATACGTGTATCTGTAAAATCAATTTCAGCTCGAGTAGAAAAATATAGAATTACTATGTTGGCACTTGAGAAAATCTATAATGTCATTCTATTTAAATGAATCAAAACTTGGCTTTGACAAAGTCTTTAAAAAGTACTGAATTCTGCTGCAGTAATATATGTTAGGAATGTATTTATGTAGAACCAAGTGTATAATTCAGTTTGGTGTAAAAAAAAAGGGGAAAAGGGATCATTTACAACGTGCAAAGAAAACCGTTGCAGAGCATGCAAGAATAACGTGCCAGAAGAGAACGTTGGTAAACAATTTGGAAAACAGTTCGTCTTTATATTCAGAGAGTGAAAAAACAAAAAAATTGCAATCCAGATAATAAATTCTCCTTAATATAAAAATGAAGGTTTAAACCTGCTAGGCTTGTCCCAGAAATTGCACCTTTCAAAGAAACTGTTTTACACCTCCACCGACACAATTGAGAAAACTTAGCAGGGCAGATTCGTGTCTGTCAGGGTCAACCCGGGCTGAGTGGGATACAACATCTTGTGTACAAACAGAGATACTCGATTCTCCCCCCCCCCCCTCCCCTCGCCCCCAAACGCTTTCTCAGTTGGGAATCGTACTTATAATATCATCTGCCTGCAGCAACGAAGAGCTAAACAATTACACCACAGACGCACAATTTAAAGTTTTTGCCTCTTGAAACAGTTTAGGTCATTTAGGAGGCTGGGTGCTTCAATTATTTTGCCAGGACTAGTTTGGCAAGTATGGGCTACATCCTTGAAGAGAAAACGAGATACTCAACAACATGCTCCTTCATATGGGAATCGAACTCATATATTATGTTGTGTTCAAGTCAAAGAGCCTAATCAGTATGCGACAGACACCGGCAAGTGCTCCATTGCAAAGTAAAATAGAGGTTGGCGTAATGTCAACAATTGAAGAAAAACAAGATATTTTCCCGAAAAATCTTTGTGCAATAAAGAAAAAAAATGCAAAGGTTTATGATATTAAAAGAAAAAATATTGCCATATAATGTTGAAGATTTTCGATGATTGAATACTATTACTGAACAAAATCAATAAGTACGTTATACTGAAATAAATCTATATCTGCATACTATCAAAGAAAAGCGTCATCTATATTATAAGATTGAAGAAAAGCTTTAAAAGTTCCGAACACTGAACAAGAAAAAAATAGCTTGCAGCTGTAACTAAATAACGTTAACTTTACTAACACAAAACGTACTTCCGGGAGCCTATTTGTGTCAGGACGCGGTAGAATAAGGCGCTCGTCAGTTTTTGAGTATATGAAGTTATTAGCATCATCTTAAAGCTTGTTATTTTTCTTGCATGTGTTGTAAAGGTTACCCAGCTGTCTTGAATAGAGGTCGAGATATACTATGCGATTGAAGTATGTGGGGTCAACTGGTGTCATAAGTAAATTTAGTGAGAAAATGGCCGCCAAAGTTTGATGACTCCCAAAGCTTGAGTATCTTTCAAAACTGCACATTTACAATTTTTATGCCTTTGATCAACGCTTTTCAGTACAATCTACTTAGAAATGTGTTTTTAAATGGACATGAAAGGTGTTAAGGCAAAAATAGAAAATTCGAAAAAAATTGCCAAACTGCCAAAAATATTCTCGTTTCTTTGATTTACCACGATGCCTCATATTTAGTTTTACCCCAACAGACTCTCATATAACCGTGTCATGTTGCAAACATTAATCGATTGCTATGACTTTCTACCCAGCCGGGCAATTCACATGAAAAACTTTAAGTATTTGATTAAATACTTTTGTATTGTTTGTATTTTTGTTATGTTTGGTATGAATTCTTTCTCTCCGTGCCTGAAGAATGCGCGATCGGGTGTAAATACATGTACTTTATTATGTTTTGGTGTTTACGATTCTTCTCTCTTTGGTTGAAAAATATGCAACTGATTGTTTAGTACTTTGTTACATTTGGTATTGATAATTTCTGTCTGTGGCTGGAGAATTTACGATGAGTTTCAAGAACTACTACCACCCCAACCCATGACTTTGTGCATCTTGCCGATCACAGAGCGTTTTTTTCCCAGTAAGTATAACATAGCTGACAATAGGAGGGGTCAGAATAGTTGTAAAGCACACAGAGCATGCTGTTAATCCCCCGTGACCCTGGGTGCTGCGCATAAGGCCGAACAGTTCGAAAATGGGACTCAACTTTACTTTTACCTATTCTTTTTTTTTGACAGTGATGATATCTGGTGATATTAATATCACTTCTATTCTGTGAGATGTTTTCTTTCTCGTGCATTCTCAGTTCTTGTCCTCACGCACGACATAAAACAGACCAGCTTGTCCCACCACGCCTTACGAGCTTACTCAACACGCAATGTGTACGGGGCGACCGGAGATCCCAGTTTGACTGGTACATTTCTCGTTCTTAATAGCATAATATGATTCGTTATTTCTTTTTGTTACTCAACGTTTTTGTACACTATTATTATTATTATTATTATTATTATTGCTTTTATTATTATTATTATCATCAATATTATAATTATAATAATAATAATAATAATAATAATAATAATAATAATAATAATAATAATAATTATTATTATTATGATGTTACATTTTTGTTTCAGACCAGCATCCGGATTGGGAACAAAGCCATCTGTAGTCATAGCGACCTTGGCTAAACAGTATAGTGCATGCAAACTCTTACAACCCCTACCCCTTCCCAGCATCCCGCACTGAATCGGAATCAAAGACTATTAAATGTTCAGACGCTTTCTTGGCAAACCTGCGACTCCACACCCCCCCCCCGCTCCCTTTCAAGGGTAAGAATTACATTTACTCATTTGGTGATACTCAAAGAACAACTCTACTCAATAGACACCCACATGCAAAACGACGGGAACAGCAACTTATCGTGCACGTTTAATTTTAACAACTTATAATAATATTGACAGACTAGAACAGCTTTTGGCAACTGTTACGTTTGGAATCTTCTGGTTCATCACATTGGAAATTTTATAGTCATTTCTGAAGTCCTTTATATCATGCAGTGAGGTGTCCATCCAAGCCCATATGCGTAGACATACATGTGTACATACATATAGATATACAGTACAAGTGAAAGAAAACTGAACAGTTGAAAATGTGAGTACTCACAGTTGTTAGATAACTTGAACAGATACGTGAGATAGACAGATAGATAGATAGATAGATAGATAGATAGATAGATAGATAGATAGATAGATAGACAGATAGATAGATAGATAGATAGACAGATGTTAAACACATGGATTGACAGCTCGCCAGACAGCAAATACAAACCAAGATTAATATAGAAATAGTAATGCAGAGCGACACAAATCAGAGAAGATTGCTTTCTGTCTCCGAGAAGACGAAGACCTTGTTAGAAAGGTGATATTTGAGCGAAATCAAAACAGTGTACACGGAAATAGAGAAAGCTTCCAGAAAACACCACAGTCAAGCACAGCGCAGGGTTAGATGATGATAAAGAACATCTATGCAACACATTCGGACGAAAGCGAACTCACCCTTCTTCTTGGAACAGGTGGCTAGAGAAAACACGTAGAACAAAGATCTAGCAGGGGCAGGGCACTATTGTTTGGTGATGATACGGGGGGTGAATTTTGACGAAGGTGAACTAATACAGTAAGGGGATACCACCCAAAAGAGAATTTGGAACGGTGCAAAGTCTATGTGTGTACTTTGCTTGTATTCACCACGGTGGGAGAAGAGAAAAAGTATACTTCTAAAATGGTTAATTCGCCAATATAACTTTGTTTCTCTTTCAAAATGATTAGCATACACTGGCTAGATGCAGTGGTATCAAAGAGATTCGTGTTTTCTATTTATCTATCGCAACCCTTTCGTAGGTTACCAAAGACGGACATAAGACAGTATTTCTCAAGAGAATTTTCACTTGGACTTGAGAGGGGATTTATATTTGCACTGATGCGCCCTGCATTTGGATCACTTTAGAGAAACAACTTTCTTTTGGCGAATTAAGATTTAGTCTGAATTATGAAAGCGGTGGAAAGATGTAATTCTAAGAAACTGATGAAAGAAAAAAAGGTTAAAAGATGCAAGGTGCGACGATATAACTGAGAGACAATGGCGTGGTAAGAAATCTATAATTAAGCTACATAATGTGCTAAGATGAGAACGATCAAAAGGGGGAAAAGGCGATTGTGACGATGAAGGTGGGGTATAAAACTATAACTACTTCTTCCTAAAGTGTACAGGAGATCAGTGAGACCACATTTTAAAAAAATGACGTTATGTTTATAAATGCTGTCTTTCTGCTTATATCTTTTCGCTTATGTACCTGTCTTCAAATTCCTTTCGAGACATACTTTATTGCTTTGATCTCGTGAAGCAAAGTGAAGGAAAAGAATTTGAAGAATGTTTTTTTTTTAATAGATCAGAAGCAATAACAACAGTTCCAACAACGTTGGTGCGTCAAAGCAAAAAGAACAGCATTTTATTCAAATATTCTCATCTACGTTTCCAACTACAAGGCATGAACTCTCAAAAATGCGAGTTTTGTGAAAGTGGCATCCATGAATTGTGTGAGACATTCTCTGTCAAACACTGTGTGAGATGAATACTTCTTTACGACTACACTCTGAAAGAGAAACTGTCTTTCACTTCACCGACGATAAATATTATGCTGCAATTTTGGTTAGCTATTTTGTACAATAACTTTGTGCGATATGTTACGAGGACAAGTACCAAAAGTAAACAAGAACGACAATGACCTGGAGTTAATGCTTAGAAAGGAAACAAGAAAAACTTTTTTTTACAAGTCACGACAAATATGATCAGACCTCATTAACTCAAATGACAGGGGGTACTCGAAATGAAAAGCCTGTGTGAGTCATTTCCTTTATGCATGTTATGGGCGCGTAGAACCAAAAGTGGGAGTCAGAACAAAGGGGGTAGGGACGCTGAAGGACGTAATTCATGCTTTATTACGTATTTTTAAAGTACGTGTAAGCTCGTGCAAAGAAGTACAACGTTGAACCAAACAAGGCGTGCTTTTCGTTTGTGCAAAGAGAACGAGTCTGTCTTTGAGTTAAAAAGGCCTGAATATTGCAAAATCTTGAACATTTTACTGTAACCTTTTGCAATGGTCACGATAAGTATGGATGAAAGTAAAATATGGAACAGACGAAGAAAACAGACATAAAGGGGTTTCACTCAAATGCAAATGTAGGTGTCATTCGTTCCTACATTCTCAACATCAATGCAAATACTGGAAAGGCAAGTGGCTTTTCTCCCAAGATAGGTCCTCAATGAGATTGAAGCTCAGTCTGTGACTTGTTTAAAATCGCAAGCAGATTACAAAACAACCACGTTACAACCAAGACAATCTCAGAGTGGGACAGTAAAGGTATTTTCAAATATGGGATGAAAAACCTGTCCCTTCCCAAACAGGACAACGAACAGAACGACTCGGGAACATCGTACGATGAGTTTTACCTCTTCGAAGGCTCGAATTTTGTCGCGGACACTCATGCTGGTCTCGAGACCCTCGTGTTCCACAGATGCCGAACGTGGTCTCGATGCTCCGGCCTCCGCGTCTTCCGACAGAGCTTGGAGCTCTTCAGGGGGTGCTGAGCTACTTCTGGATCGCGCAGGAAACTCTCCGACTACCGGGTACGTGAAGATCTCTGTGGGTTGTCCGGCGAACTGGGAAGAGAGCACATCACGAGACGGGGGTGCGTCTAATTTTGGAATGGACGTTTGTTGTTGTGGGAGACTGAACGCGTCAGATTTTCCCCTTAGTGCTGCTGCGTTTTTCTGCTGCTCTTCGAGGTATTCTTGCGTCGTGAGGTCTTTTACGTTTTCGTATAGAGGACTGGAATCTGCAGCGGCTTTGGCAGCGTCGTCAAACTTACGTATACTCTTCCGCGGCGAGATGGGTGGTCTGACCACAATTGGAGGACTCTCCGCGCAAGTTTGAGAGGATGAACCATTTGTCGAGCCGTTGTCGTATTGTCTGGCCTGTGATGCAGCCATCTGTACTCCTTTCAATGGTGATGCTCTGGCATGTTCGCTTCTTGGCATAGCCGTTGGTTTGGCGTTGTCGTAAGGGCTCCCCACACGATAAGGACTCATCGAGTTGTTTCCGTACGGGCTTCTGGCCGAGTCGTCTCCCCCTCTGGTGGAACTCTCCTCGTCGAAGTCTGTCCCGGGTGACGACGGGGAGTGAGGTTTGGGAGGGGAAGAGTCAGAGTCAGGGGGCGTGACCGGAGAGGGGAAGGCGTAAACGTCTTGATCGGGGGAGGAGCTAGGCGAGACTGACGTGCTGTCAGAGAACTCTCTCTTGATTGTCTTCGTTTCTGGCGTCGGAGGGGACTCCATGACCTTGTAATGGGGAGAAACGGATTGCTCCTCCGCCTCTATGTGCTGTATTAAAATCGGACTCGGCTTCGCCTTGAGATCTTTAGCCTTCTTCTTTTCTGTGGAGTCCTGCCTGGGTAAATATTTACCACTAGCAGTTGTTGTTGTAGTACCAGAGTTGCCATCTTCGAAAGAACCTTCTTTACTGCTGAATGAACCGTCATTGATGTCGTCGGCTTTAATGCTGGGGATGACCACTGATTTTCTCTCCGGGATCTCAGAGACGCCTTGCTGTTTCGTGGACAGTGGGGACAGGACGAGCTCGGGGTCTGGCAGTCTTCTCTTCGGCTTGGGAGGCGGGATCGGCTTTAGATCGGACACGCCCCTCTTCACGATGTTCTCCATGTCCTCGGCGATTTTATGGATTTCGTCGGTGATCAAAGCTTCGAAATCCTTCAGCTTTGTCGCGGCCTGCTCTTCCGTCTGTCTCTCGTCACTGTGTCGCGAGGGTGCGTGGAAGGCTGAGAGACTCGTGCTGATGCACGGCGCTGAATGTGGGAACATCTGAGCCTGACTCGTGCACGGCAAGAACGGGAACTCGCTGGCGGCGTCATGCAAGTCGATGTCGTCTGCAACATGGTCAAGTGCCGAGAGATCTGCCGTGGTTTTGATTGTCGAGTTTTCACTCCCCAGCCGGCTGATGTCTTCAAAGTTCCCACATCGCCTCAACGTGTTGCTGTATGTAAACGTCTGACCGTTGTTGTCGTCTTCCTCTTTTTCTGCCTCCTCTTGTTCTTCTTGCAGCTGCTGTTTCAGCTTCTTCGCTGATGGAGGTGGGGGTATTCGGGGAATGACGTCGACTATTTCTTTCTTCTGAGACGGTGAAAACGCTTTGCCAGGTTCAAAGAAAGCCGTAGGAGGGGCAACAACTCCGTGATCATCGTCGTCATGATCTTCGTAAGCCGCTGCCGCCTCTTCTCGAGACCTCTGTCTCTCTAGCTCCTCCATCTGTTTGGCTAGCATGTCTTCCTGTTCAGCCTCCTCTACCGAAGGAGACACATCCAGTATCGGGGACAGATCAATCACGGGTGACCAGTCGGTGGAAGGAGGGCGAGCTTTTTGCCTTTTGGAACCTTGGAAGTCGATAGATTTCGAGGCAGGATCAGCAAGCTCCACCTCTTCGACGTCATCACTCGGGGGCGTGGCGTTGTCATAGTAACCGGGAGACACGGGGGAGGAGCTGGAATCTGCGCTCTCGACAGAGTCCGGGCTCATTGGCTCCCCGAGGCCACCGCCACTGTTGCTCGTGGTGTGAGGCAGGAGGTTGGTGGGTGACACACTCATGGAGGTCAAGCTAGCCGTGCTGTTGGCGATGGTCGCGGCGTAAGTGGCTAAATCCATGACGGGGGCGGAGTGGGGCATTGACCCCGTGACCTGGAAGTCGTTATGATGCGGCTGCGTGGCGGAGGGGGCGGGGATGCTGGATGGAGGCTTGGCTCTGACGTTGGGCATGTCAAACGATAGCGTCTCGCCCATGGTTGTGACGAGCGAGTCTTTCATCTCTTCTGGAGACATCGGCGAGGGCCTTTGAGGCATCTGAGAGCCGGCGATACCGTTGTCTAGAGCGCTGTGAGTGCTGTTGGACGCTTCTCCGTAGAGATCGTCGAGAGACAGCTGCCGAGACGGTGGGGATATGTCATTGTACGTGAAGTGTGTCTTCTTATCCTTGGGAGACAAGGACCCACGCCGTTTTCCTGGGTACGAGTCCCGTCTGCGGGGAGAGAAAGGAGGGCTCTCTAAACCCTCACGCCAGCTCGGACTACGCGGTGGAGTCGGGCTGTTTACTGCGTGTCCATCTGCTAGGTGATCATGACTACCTAACGACGTAGGTTCCTTTAAACTCTTACCCATTGTCTCTGATCCCAGATGGTGCTGGTCTTTCCCTCCTCCTCCTCCCTTCTTCCCTCCTCTGGAATCTCCAGCAGCACCAAGACCTTCAGAACCACGAGATCCAGCAACTGATAACTCATTCTCCCCACCGCTTGTTGTCCTAACCTTTGATCCGAGCTCATTCTTGAGCGTGATACTGGAGCTACTTCCGCTTCCTATGCTAGTGACGTCACTCGATGACGTTTTCCCTGAAGCCGCCGCGGCCCCTGCCTCCTGTCCTCCGGATCCCGGCCCTTCCTCCTCGTCCGATGATGTGTGGCTGTGAGAGCGAGACAGGTTCAAGGATTTCGGCCTGTGTTTCTGCCGTTTGGATTCTTTGCGACTACTTACACAAGAGGCCGCCAGGAGGTCGCGGCCGCTCTCGTCGGTGCTCGAACCCCCGTCTGGTCGGCTCCGCTCTGACGCTAACTCGTCGAAATCCATCTCGGATGTCAGGTCGGAAAACTCGTCCGATTCGCTTTTTGGCAAGGTAGCTCCAGGCCCTGAAGAGAAACAGGGTGGGGTTGGGAGGGGGGGAGCGATGGGGAGTAGAAACACACAGACATTAAATAAAATTGCTGATTTCAAAATTATGCTTGACACTCATTTAAGTTTTGCAGTATTTACAGAACGGAGGTGACGTATGAAGATACTCAAGTATTGAGCTTACCTTCATTTTAACATGGTAACAAGACGAAGGGTTATAAAACTAGCCACGGGGTCCACCATAACATAGATACCTAATCAATACTCAGTATCTTAAGTTCAGAAAAAAAATCAAACAAAAGTCATATGCACCGAAGTTCACCGTTTGTGTTTTATACACTCGGTCAACAGCGATCCGAAATATATGTGTTTTCAAGGCAACCTTCAAACTATTTTTTAATCTTTGTTCTCTCCGATCGTCAAAGTTTATTCTCAGGTTTTCTTTTCGAGTCCTCCTCTGATATAAGGCACTGAGATAGATAGAACGAAGACATGCACAACATTAAGATACAAGATGCAGCTCTAAAGTGCAGAGACAAAGAACAAAGGAATAATGAAGTGAACGAAAGGGAATCTAATATCACGCACGTCCTGTTACCATAACAAAGAGGGAAACATGGGGGGGGACAAATATATTGACAAAGAGCAGGTTTGCTGTTTTGTGCATCAAATTTAGCATCTAATGACGGGCAGGAAAAGCATGTTTATTTAGCTTTCCATAAAGAATCATGCAAGGTAGGGCAAATAAGCCTGTGTGAAAAATAAATTGTTTTCAAAAACATGCAAAGAAAGAGTAAATATAGCATCTTCTAAAATGAAAATTAACCAGAAATGCAGGGGCTTTGCTTCAAGCAATAACAGTTGGATTCCATCTCCTTTAAGGCAAAGGTAAATTTCCTAAGACGTACACCATAGCTGAACTGACAACCAAAAAAAGATAGGCGCAGACATAAAAATGCATACCAAGACAAAGAACGGAAACAACAATAAACCATTTTTTTCTACGTTCTTTAACAATCTTGGGAGGAGGAGGAGGAGAAGGAGAAAGAGGAAGTGAAAAGGGAAAGAGAAATTGGATAACAAAATCAGTCGTATTAAGGTTAAAACCTTATTTGAACTAATCCGTATACTATTTTACCTTTTATAGTGTACAGCAAAAGAAACGTCAGCATGATTTCAGTCTCGTCTTACGTATCCAATATAGATACAATTTATAGACTTTGGTCCACTACTACAACTTCAACTTGAAAATACAAACTATAAAACAAAACAATGCAAACAATGAAATGCACACAAAGACATGGACTCTCTCTCTCTCTCTCTCTCTCTCTCTCTCTCTCTCTCTTTCTCTCTCTCTCTCTTTCTCTCTCTCTCTCTCTCACACACACACACACACACAAACACACACACATACACACACACATTCACATGCACACACAAACACACGTCCTCACGCATGGATACACATAATATAAAAACATGGCCTGGTATTCACAACTTATATCCTTAAAGTATCATTTCTGTTATCAGTGGCTAGCTCTTCACCTTTTGTTTTCGTAAAATATATAATATTCGATCGAAAATCTCTCGGTTTCTACAGGAAAGTTGTGGCCAAGTCAGCCCTGACAGACTGTGTTGAAGCAACCGACCTCCTAAATGATATAACTTTAAATGGGCGTTAGATCTACTCAGTGGCGACAAAGTGTGTTTACTTCGCTAGCACAAAACCAATGTGCCAGGATCTGGACATTACAGAGTTATCTTATCTTATCTTATCTTGTCTATCTTATCTTATGTTATCTTGTCTATCTTATCTTATCTTATCTTGTGCAGATGGGGGTTTAAGCACTTACATAAAATATTTTCATGCTTGTTAAGACACCACCACAGCCATAATATGTCACTACCAGGGTGATTTCCACTACACACTAAAATGACTTCCATCCTGAAGGCCATTGCCTAATATAACGTTTTATTTTCCATGTTTAAAGCCGCAGGAAGAACGGGAGTGCCTTTTGCTTGGATCAATGCTTATGCTCCCCTTAGAGGAAATCAGTTTTCTACGTCAACGTTGTAGTGTCGGTCCTTGTGGCGGGCCTGATTATGGTGTGCCCAGACAAAGCTATAAGCCTACATTACCAGATTTATTGGGAGATGTCATTTCTGTCTGGACCCACAAGGCCAAAGAAAGGAAAAATGAAATAAAAGCGAAGAGGGGAACAACAGAGAGAGAGAGAGAGAGAGAGAGAGAGAGAGAGAGAGAGAGAGAGAGAAAGAATGAGGAGCAAAAAGGACGTAGAAGAGGTAGGGGAGGAGAAAAATGCGAAAGGATGAGAAGTGATGAGTAGGGATGAGTGGAAGAGGTTTGAAGAAAGAGGAATTCTGGAAATGAGGGTTGGTGATTTATGGCTTGGGTGAAAAAATGTGTGGGTATATGAGTGAATGTGTGTGAGTGAGTGTGAGCGTGTGTGTGTGTGTGTGTGTGCGTGCGTGTGTGTGTGTGTGTGTGTGTGTGTGTGT